AGGCGGGCACGGCCCAGGCCTCCCTGCCACAGGTGCGCAGCCCACAGTGCCAGTTGGAGACTCCCGTCTGCCAAGGTTTTATTGTGGCCCGGCGAGGCAGGAGGTATGCATGGCATACGTAAGCAGAGAGCCGGAGGCAGCCAGCGGCACCTAGAACGGCGCAGAGTGGCCCAGGAGCGTGGCGGGGCGGGCGGCCGGCACCTGCCCTGCTCGTCCAGCAGACCTCCGGGCTCCAGCCTGGCGGGGCCCAGTGTCCACCTTGGTGGGCCCGGGTCAGATCTTGGCCAGGGCAGAGTGCGCGTCAGCCTGCTCCTCTTGGATGGGGGTCCGGAAACTGCCTCCCCCTGGCGGGGGAGAAAAGGAGAGATTGGTGGGTGGGCCTCACGCGTGGGGGCAGTGGGGCAGGGCCACGAGGCACTCACCAGGGGCTTTGGGGGCATCGGGGGGCAGCCTCTGGTCCCTCCGGAGCAGGAGCAGGGCCAGCAGCATGGCCAGGGGGCCCAGCAGCCCCAGCGCCAGGCCCAGGCCCAGGATGGCAGCAACGGCGGGGCCTGCGGGAAGGGGTCTGCTGGGTGGAGTCCCCAGGAGGGGCCCCCATGCCGCCCTCCCCTCCTCCTATTTGGGTTGGGGGCCCTGCTGGGCTGGGCCAGGCGCCCTTACCCCTGGGGACCTCCACGGGCCGGGTGGAGGGTCTCTGTGAGGTTCTGGGCCAGGCTTCAGTGGGCTGGACAGTGGTGGGCCTGGCCGGGGGGCCCTGGGTCTCCTGGGGCTGTGTGGGTGGGGGGTCCCTGTCCTCACAGATGGCGTCCGAGCTATTGCTGGCTGGCTGCAGGGTGTGCTTGCCGGCCAAGGTGCAGCTGTGGGGAGCAGCGGGTGTTGCTCAGGCCAGAAACACCCTGGGACCCGGGAGATGCAGTGGGGATGACAGGGTCCGCGCTGGCCAGCCTCAGGCAGCGTCTACCACAGACACCAGGCCAGTAGCAGCCAAGGGCCCTGCCCAGCCCCACGTGCCCTCCACAGGGGCCTCCAAGGTCACACACCCTTCTCCCACATCTACACCCCCCACCGGCACTTCCCTGTCCTGTGCCCCCAGGGCCTCCCAGCTGCAGAGGGTGAGGGTCCCACACACCCAGCTCCACCCATGGGGAGAGGCTGCCCCCAGGCAGCAGCTTCCTGCTCCCCAACTAGGTCCAGCCACACAGCCAGGCCCCCAGGGCCACCAGCACCTCCCCTTCCTCTCCCCACCTGCCCGCTCTCCAGCCGCCAGCGTCAGCCTCCAGCTGGCCAGGCTTCCTTGCCTCCTAACCCCCCAGCCTCCAGCCTCTCTCAGCCAGCCTCTGCCCTCCTAAAAACCCGCGCCCAGGTCCCAGCCCTCCAGCCTGTTCAGGCCGCCAAACCACTCGGTCAGCCCATCGCTCCAACCTGACCACCGCCCCGCCACCTCCAGCCTCCAATCTTGACCGCCGGCCACCTCCAGCCTCCAACCCCTGACCCCGCCGCTCCAGACCAGCCACTGGCAACACTCGGTCCAGCCAACCTCCAGCCCTCCACTGAGAGCCGCCAGACCAGCCACAGCCCCTCACTTGGTCCAGGGCTTGCAGGCCTGGTTGTCGCCTGGGGAGAAGTGCCCTGGAGGGCAGGGGGCACAGTCTGCAACAAAGACAGGGTGGTCAGGGGCTGCCCACAGGCCCTGGGTGCTGGGGACATGGGGCAGAGCCTGTGGGTTGCCACTCGCCCCCCACGGCCGGGTGGTGGGTTTGGCCTCTGGAAGCCCTCCCTGCCCACATCCCACCCGTGGGCCCTGACCTGGGAGCCCTGTCTTGAGGATGCCAGAGGAGGCACCAGTGGGGCTGGTTCCCTGCGGCCCACGGCCCATCTGCGTCACAGACAGCCGCTAGGACACCCCCAACTGCCGGCCACAGCCACCGAGCTCACCAACTCCAGGCTTGTAGCTGTCCAGGGGCTGGGTGCCCGCCCGGCAGCGGCAGACTGTGTCCTGTGTGGCCGTGCACGGCTGTTTCCGCTCACTCCCACTTCCTGAGCAGGGGCCGGAGGGGGGTTATCAGGTGGGGGCTGTGGACAGGGTCCCCAAGAAGGACAGGTTGGCCTCCCCACCACACAGAGGGCCATGGGCGGGGGTCTGCAGCCTCCCCCAAGGTGTGGAGCCCCTGCAGCCCCCGAGGCCCTCCCTTCCTGGCCACAACCTGGGGCTGGTTCTGTGGCAGCCCCAGCCACCCTTCCCTACCCCTCCACCACCTCCAGCCGCCAGCACTGCCTGAGGCAGGGTCTCCATGGCCCAGTCCCCCAGCCTCACTGCTCGGGCCAGCAGGGCCAGGCCACATGGCCAGAGTGGTCTCCCCGACTCCACGTGGCCTGGGCCGAGTCTGGGCCCGGAAGGAGTGGGGGTGCCCCGGGAGATGCCTCAGCTCCTCAAAGGACCCTGTGGCGGAGCAGACCCCACTGTGGTTTGAGGTTCGTTTCTGTGGCTGTGGGGGCCCCGTGCTGCTGCGTGGGAATGTGGCTGCCAGGCTGCCGCCCCCTGTGCCGGGTGGGGCTGTGGGGCCAGGTGGGAGCTCACTGAGGTTGCACCATGTGCAGGCCTTGCAGGGCTTGGCGCTGACCACGTCGTTGTAGAAGCCGGGCCCGCACGGACGGCACACCGTGTTCTGGGAGCGGTTGCAGCGGCTCACCATCCCATTGCCTGCAGCAGAGGCCGGCGTCAGGTAGTGGTCAGGCCCCGGGCTTGCGCCCATGGACTCCCCACACGGCTCCTCTGCCAGGCTTGGCGGGCCCCTTGCCTGCCCCCTCCCCAGGACCAGCCTCCTGGCTGGCCCATCCCTGCCCCGGCCCCCAGTCCCTGGAGTGCCCCGTGCGTGGCAGACCCTCCTGAAGCTGGGCCTCACCTGGCCTGCACTCCTGACAGCACCGGTCGTTGCTGGGGTAGGTGTCCCCGACACAGTGGAGCTTCGCCGTGGTGCTCAGCCCCAGGCCCAGGAGGAGCAGAGCCGCACACGGCCCCCGGCCCAGCCGCCGAGCCCCCACACACATCCTCGTCTCCGCTGTCGCCAGAGTCTGGGTTTTCCTTGCGGGGTGTGGCTATAAGGACTGTGGAGGAGGGGAGGGGAGGGGAGAGGGGAGGAGGGCAGAGGAGGCGGGAGGAGGAAGGTGGCAGGCTGGGGACCCTGGCTGTGGGCTGGGCACAAAGGCGGGGTCTGGACACCCCCAGCATTGGCTTATTCTGCCTTCTGCCCTCTTTGGCCCAAGACCACCATGTTCAGACCCCAGGGCACAGTAGGGCCTGGCCTGCGACTCAACCCTCAGCAAAAAGGTTCATGGAGCACGTGGGTAAACTGAGGCAGCACTGAGTCAGGAGCGGCAACTGTTCAGTCTGGACCTTCGGAGCTGTGACACTGCTGGACCATAGTCCCCCTTGAGTGCCCAAGACTAGCTCTGAGCAGCAGTGACCACAGCCATGGTAAGACAGACACCCACGACCAGGCGCTGTGGCTCATGCTTATAATCCCAGCACTTTGGGAGGCCAAGGCAGGTGGATCACCTGACGTCAGGAATTCGAGACCAGTCTGGCCAACATGGCGAAATCCTGTCTCTACTGAATACCAAAATTATTTGGGCGTGGTGGTGGGTGCTTGTAATTCCAGCTACTCGGGAGGCTGAGGCAGCAGAATCGCGTGAACCTGGGAGACAGAGGTTGCAAAGCTGAGATCGTGCCACTGCACTCCAGCCTGGGCGACAGAGCGAGGCTCCGTGACCAGGGCCCACGCTGAGTGTGCCTGAGCAGGGCAGGTGTCTACGGCTGAACTGTGCCCCTTAAATTCCTGCGTGGAAGCCCTAACCCCCATGTGGCGGTGTTTGGAGACAGGCCTCCGAGGAGGTCATGAGGGTGGGTCCTGGATGACCTGGCACACGTGGACACGCAGGCAGGTTTCTCCCTCGATGCAGACAGCTCTCAGGTTCCACGGGTTGCCCAGAGAACAGGAACTGCCTGGAGAGCCGGGGAGCAGGTGCGGGGCCAGAGGCTCCCTGGGCCCCTTCTGTACCTTTCAAGTAACTGTGACCAGCCTGTGATTATCCAAAAGTTCGTTTTTAAAGTTGCCAAGTGGAGAGGGGCCTCTAGGGGAACAGAGCAGCGGGGAAGGGGCTGGAAATCCCCTCCTCCCAGAAGCACAGGAAACAGCTGCCTGCCCTCTGCCCACCCGCGGGAAATTCCCAGCCATGGAGGCCGCTGGGCCTGGAGGGGGAAGGAGTGGAGGGAGAGGCCACTCACCCTTGTACTGAGGGTCCCTAACTTGGTCACCCTCCCCATAACCCCACAAGTAGAGAGGATCCTGGAAGGGCTCAGAGCATCCCAGACAGTGCGTGTGCGTGCACGTGCACACCCCAACCCAGGTGGGCAGAAGAGGAAAGTTCTGGAATTTTCTGGAAGTTTCCACCCAGCGTTCACATGGGTTTCCCACCGACAGTGAGAAAAAGCTTGTATTTCCAATTGGTTTCTTGGAGGTTCAGGTGAGCTGGGGGTCTTGATGGGCAACACTGCTCTCCTGGGGCCTAAGTGGCCGCGTCTGCCCACAAGTGCAGTGAGTGGGGCCCATGCACCATGGAGAGGGCACCCTCAGCACGTTGCTGGCACCTGCAGTGGCCCCAGGGTAGGGCATGGCCCCTCCTGCTTGAAGCTGCCCAGGAAGCTCAGGTCTCCTTGTCCTGGGCTGAAGCTCACAGGTCCGAGAAAGCCCCGCTGTGTCCACGGAACCGGATGTGGAGTGGCCACAGGAGACTGGACACCGACCCAGAGCTGAGGACACCCGAGGTCTGCAAGGCAGCCTGCAGCTCGAACCGCATCCCCAGGGGCTGGGCTCTCCACTCTGCACAGTGGTGTCGCGGGCGGCCCAGGGCAGCCCGTGGGTGGCCACTGCTCCTCCAGTACCAGACTGGAGGTGGCCGGGGCCTCGGAAGGGTCAGGTGCCGCCACGCACCCAGCTGTCCCCCCGCCCTCATGTCCAGTCCAGCATGGCCTCAGCTCACACCTCCCACTTCTGGGTGAACGGCCCTCAGCTGCTGAGGCTGTGATGGTCCCTGGCTCTGGCCTGGGGCCATGGATGGGGAAGGGCAAAGTCCAGGCCACCGGAGGTTGGCTCCAGGGAATTACAGCCCCTTCCAGCAGGGCACGGGACCTTCCTCCCAACACCTGCCCGGCCACGGCTCTGTGAATCCTGTTTGCCTGGGAACCAGCCCAGGTGCCAACCTACCCTCTCGGCCCCGTAGGGGCCCCTGGGCAGGTGGGCTCCGGGCAGAGGCCAGTCACATGGGCACTGCAGGGCAGACTGAGGAGGGGGCACTCCTGGCTTCCTTGAGCTCCCGCCGGGAAAGCCAGGAAAGAGCCTGGGCCCCCACACGCCACAGGGCGGGACCCCCACCAGCCGTCCTCACACCCCCCCTTCTCTGCCCCTCCCGGGGCTGGGCCCGCCCCTCTGCACCCAAAGGCCTTGCCATCCTCCACCCAAAACTCCCTAGGTGGCTCTGGCTCCTGCCTTAAATGTCCAAACCCCAAACTCAAGGAACACTTCTGCTGCCCCCAGGACCCCTGCTCACACACACAGCGCTGCCCCCCGTCCTCCCAGAGCCCCTGCCATCCCTGCCGGCCAGGAGAATCACCTCCGACGGGCCACGACCTCCGCCTGACCCAGCATCTGCCTCCAGCCTCCAGTGGAAACTCTGACCACAGACGGGCCACGCTGCTGCTGTGTTTTGTTTCACACCCAAAGAATGAAGCTGACCAAAAAGGCAACTATGTTTACAGTAAATTAATGTGATTCTTATCACAACAAATATTCGCGTTTTCTCCGCGGCAGCTGTGGGACCTGGGTGGCTCCAACCTGCCAGGCCCGGGAAGGACCAGGCGCCCTCCCCTGAACTTCGTGGCTACTCATTTCCAGCGAAGTTTAATCTATTTTTAATAATCGTTCAGTTTTCAAGGAAACGGAGAAGCTGTTATTTCCCACGGAGCGGTGGCCCTGGGAGGGGCCGGGCCCAGAGGTTCCGGCCGCGATGCGGTCAGCGCCTTCGGCACAGTGACTGAAGCGAGATTTCGTTCTCAGAAGTGAGATGCAGCGATTTCGAGGGACCAGGGAGGAGGAGGCGCCGCGGAGCCGCAGCCCAGCCCCGCACCCCGGCCGCATCACAGCAGAAGCCTCGCCGGGGTGTGTGCCGCGGTGGGGACGCCTCGCTGAGCCTCGCGGGGGTGCGCGCTGTGGGGGGACTCGTCGCTGATCAACTGGGGCGGCCACGGTCGGCCGGTGGCGGGTGGCAGGGAGGGGCTGGGGTCCGGGACAGCCACGGAGCCTGGAGTCACCCCCGGGGCCGCTCTGGTGGTGCGCGGGGGGCGGCGCGGGGCGCGCTGGGCGCTCAGAACTCCTCGTGCACGCTGCGCGCGTAGTCCACCAGCTTGCTGCCGGTGAAGAACTCGCTGTACTTGAGCACCTCCTCGGGCTCCAGGTGGTGGTTCTGGTTCTCGTCCGCGACCGCGATCATCTGCTTGGCCTCGTTCAGGGCGTTGTACTCGTTCATGGGGTCCATGTAGCTCTGCGGGCGAGCGGGGCACAGGTCAGCGTCCGCCTTTCCCCCTCCCAGTGCCAGCCACCCGGGAGGCCCTCCCGGCTCCGCTCAGGGGAGGAACAGCTGGCCCGAGCTCCGCGGTCATCCACACGAAGTGGCTATTTAAGGTGCCTGCTGGCTGCAGCGGGAGTGTGGGCATGTTCTGGAAGGTTCCCGAAGGGAGGCGGCACAAATGAGAAGGGCACGGGGCAGGGAGAAGCCGGGGGCCCTGGGAGGCCTGCCCGTGGCCGGCAGGGGTCACGGGGCACAGGGGCTACACCGGCCTGAACCCCAGTTCTGAAGGATCCCTAACCTGGGCCGGGCTCACTGGCTGTCGCCAGGGATCACAGGATTCTACATAAAAACAAGATGACTCATTCAGCAGTGGAGACAAACAAGCCTACACATGATACCAGTGAAAACGCTTCAAAGGAAGGTGGTAAATTCCAGCCATGTGGCACAGGCCGCCCCGCCCACCTGCACCTGCCTCCAAGTTGGGCCCAGCAGGAGCTTCCCCTTGTGGTCCCGTTAAAAAGGGGCCGTGAGAACCTGAGTCTCTGACCCATTTGAACCTAAACGCCAACCATGGCCACGCGGTCTGGTGGACGCCGCTGAGCAAACGCCCCAGTGACCAGCCCAGGGGGCGTTTCAGGCTGGACACCAGCATGGCTTCCTGTCTCAGGCCCAGATCCGCCGGCCCCTCCGCGCACAGTGCCTCGCAGGGCTGGCTCCGGGACGCGGCTGCACCAGGGCTCACCTCCAGCTCCTCTGCCGTCACGATGCCGTCGTGGTTGGAGTCAATGAGCTCCTCAAACTCCTTTTTTCTGTCTTTCACCCAGTTGTCGTCAATGTCCTGGCCCTGCTGGTTCTCCACGGTGCCCACGGGCAGGGAGACGAACTCCGGCAGAGACAGCTGCTTGTCACCGTCCTGGTCTGTGAGACGGGAATGGATCAGCCCACACCCAGGCTGGGGTTCCCACAGGACCTTACCCGACTTCCCGGCGATGCCCGGCCCCTGCCGTTGGTCCCCGGGCCCTGGCGCACCAGCCAGGCTGGACCCAGCCTCACCCAGGTCCCGGACGATCTCCTTCACCATGAACCTGAGCATCCCCCGGCTGTGCTCGGGGTGGAGGAACGACAGGAACTCCTCCTCCGTCAGCAGCAGGTCCGCGGGGGGGCTGTCTGCCTGGTACCAGCGGTCCTTCAGGTTCTCCAGGACTTCCTGTGCTGAGAGGGGCGCAGCCTGTGGGCATCGAGGCAGACAGACGCCGGCACGCAAATCCAGAAAGCTCCGAGAGGTGCTGCCTGAACTTGAGGGACGTAGCCGCCCACGAGACCGGGGCCCCACCCTCCAGGATTCACAGGTCCCCCGGACATGGCCCAGACGACCAAGACACAGCCTGGACCCCCCCCAAGACATAACCCAGAGCCCCCCACAGGCCTGATCCCCAAAGACAAAGCTTGGACCCCCCAAGATATAACCCAGGCCCCCCCAAGACAGCCTGGACCCCCCACACAGCTTGGACCCCCAAGACATGGCCTGGACCCCCCACACAGCCCAGACACCCCAAGACATGATCCAGAACCTTCCCATGGCCCAGAATCCCCAGGACATAGCTCAGACCCCCTCATGCCCGGGACCCCTCAGGATGGGCCTGGGCCCCCCCACACACCCGCATCTGCCCCTCCGGAGGAGCCAATCACCCACACGCAGGCACCGCCCTGGCACCGCAGGGCAAAGGACTCACTGCCCTTTCCGTTTCCTTCATGTGTGACGTCACAGGGAGGAAAACACAGTTTCTAGAAATGACTGAGACAGGGGCTGAGCAGAGCCTCCCGGCTGGGACACGGTGCTGCCTCTGGGTGTGTGGCCCCCGCGCTCCCGCTGTGCCCTCCCAGCCCTGACGACCCCCTCACCCCGAGGTCCCCACGCATCCCAAGGGCCCCATGCCACCCTCAGCCCAGGCCTGTCTCGGTCTCCAGGGCAGAACCACAACCTCCTGCCCCATCTTGGGGCTCGCTGTGGTCAGTGGCCAAGTCCAGTGTTGAGGCTCAGCCCCTGCAAGTGAAGCCCGACTCTGCCCTGGCCACAGCCCCTGCCACAAACGCAGCAGCCTCTGGGTCACAGTTACTGCAGGAGGATGAGGCCCAGCTGCCGTCTCCTCTTATCCCTTTCTGAACAACCTCCTCCTACACGACCAGTTCACTTAAAGGAAGACAGGAGTGACGGGGCTGCGGGTGCTGGGGCACCCCTCCCTGTCTGCTCCACCGCAGCTCCTGGGAGGGATGGACGGGCCTGACCTGAGACTCACTCAGGACAGGCACAGATGCCCCAGACAGGCCGGCTGAGAGCTGCCTTCTCCAGCACAGGATTCTCACAGCCGCCGCCCAGCCCCAACCTCAGACCCAGAGAGATGTAGCAACGGAGGCAGGGGACAGGGGCGATGCCCGCCTGCCACGCCTTCACCGCAGTCCCCAGAATCAGGTCTGCAGCACGAGAACAGCAGCCCCAGGACTCATGCCACGGCCCTCACAGGAGCCATGCAGGGAGGGGTCGGAGGTCGCTGGAGCAACGCCTACCAGTGCTTCCCAGGCCCTCCCTCCAGGACCCGGCCGCTGCTCTTCCCGAGCCAGAAACCAAATACCCGAAGGGGTGGGGGGTCCTAGGCACCCCGAGGTCGGGGGAACCAAGACGGATCGGACACGGCTGGGCAGGGAACGGCACCTCAGCACGCACGGGGACCTCCAGAACAGAGTGAATTCTACATACACCTCTGCTGAGCCCCAAAGGTAGACGAAGGCTTCACAGGGATGTCACAGAGCTCTAGGTCCAGGTGGGACATGTCCTGGGCAGAAAATGGCACCAAGGACAGACAGACACAATCGGAGTTAGGGCGCGGGCAAACACAAGGGCCTCCCACCACAGCACATCGCCAGCAGGCTGGACTTGCTGTGCAAAAGCTCACCAACGGGACGAAGGTTAAAGGCACCGGCAGGACAGCAGGGAACGCGTGACGGGGTGGAGGCACAAACCGTGTGCGGTGAGGAAAACGTAAACCACTCTTTCGGAAAGGAAATAATAACATCCAATTTGGCCAGGTACTGGGATTTGTGCCTGTAATCCCAGCACGCTGAGAGGCTGAGGCCAGAGTTCGAGACCAGCCTGGGCAACATAGGGAGATCCTCTTATTTTTAGTTTAGTTTTTTTTTTTTGAGACGGAGTCTCGCTCTGTCGCCCAGGCTGGAGTGCAGTGGCATGATCTCAGTTCACTGCAACTCCCGGGTTCTCCGCCTCCCAGGTTCACGCCATTCTCCCGCCTCAGCCTCCTGAGTAGCTGGGACTACAGGCACCCGCCACCAGCCTGGCTAATTTTTTGTATTTTTTAGTAGAGACGGGTTTTCACCGTGTTAGCCAGGATGGTCTCCATCTCCTGACCTCGTGATCCGCCCGCCTTGACCTCCCAAAGTGCTGGGATTATAGGCGTGTGCCAATGCGCCCGGCCTTTTTTAGTTTTTTTAACGTCCAATTGGTAAAATTTAGAAAGGACACGACCAAACTCCAGATGAGAGTACGTGAACTGGGAGAAGGGCAGGCAGAGCCAACAGGCTCAAAAGTCTCCACATCATTCTAGAAGGTCAAGGCCAGGCACAGGAGCTCACGCCTGCAACTCCAGGACGGGGGGAGGCCGAGGCGGGCGGGTCACTTGAACCCTCTCAAACCCCAAGAGTTTGACACCTGCCTAAGGCAACATGAGGAGATCTTGTGTCTACAAAACATATATTTTTGCATCAGTGGGGCATGGTGGCACGCACTGGTGGTCCCAGTTACTCAGGAGGCCGCCCCGCCATGGGGGCTGGTCACATGATACGGGCCGTTCCTGGCAGGAACGTATCTTACACCTTTACTTTTTTTATTCTCTGAGGAAGACAGATTGAGCCCAGGATGTGGAGGCTGCAGAGAGCCGAGATTGCACCAGTGCACTCCAGCCTGGGCAACAGTGAGACCCTCACTCTCAAACAATAAAAAATTAAAAATTAAAAAAAGAGAGGTTAAGACCAGGCGCAGTGGCTCACGCCGATCACTCTGGGAGGCTGCGGTGGGCAGATCACTTGAGTCCAGGAGTTTCAGGCCAACCTGGCCAACAGAGCAAAATCTGTCCATACAAAAAATACAAAAATTGGTCGGGCGCAGTGGCTCAAGCCTGTAATCCCAGCACTTTGGGAGGCCGAGACGGGCGGATCACGAGGTCGGGAGATCGAGACCATCCTGGCAAACACGGTGAAACCCCGTCTCTACTAAAAAGTACAAAAAATTAGCCGGGCGAGGTGGCGGGCGCCTGTAGTCCCAGCTACTCGGGAGGCTGAGGCAGGAGAATGGCGTGAACCCGGGAGGCGGAGCTTGCAGTGAGCTGAGATCCGGCCACTGCACTCCAGCCTGGGCGACAGAGCGAGACTCCGTCTCAACAACAACAAAAAAAAATACAAAAATTAGCCTGGCATGGTGACAGTGACTGAGGTCCCAGCCACCGGGGAGGCTGAGGTGGGAGGATTGCCTTGCGACTGGGAAGGTACACGGTAGGCAGCAGAGTGAGACCGTCTCATGAAAAAAGAAATAAATTAAGAGGAGGTTTGCCTTCAGACTCTGGTGAGGAAATGTGTGTTACTGATAGGTTGAGCAGGCACAACAAATAAAGGTGTAAGATACGCCCAGCCTGCCAGGAGCGGCCCCGTCTATCACGTGACCAGCCCCGTAAACAACACGGCTCCCTGCAGGGCAGCAGAGACGCCACCCCAGGAAGCCGAGACGCGATGGAACAGGCGTCGCCGCACATTCTCCACGAAGCCCAAACCAGACAACGGGCACAACCAGGAAGGGCACGCAGAGCCCCAGGGTGGCAGCAACGCCACAGTACCTGCTCAGCTGTGTCTCACGACTGAGCCAGCAGGGGCTTCTGCCCGGACAGCGCTCCCAGACCTGCCCCGTGCAGGGTGGCCTGGCTCTCCCCTCACCTGGCCTTAGCCTGGGTGCTGGGCCCCACCTGGCCCCACCCTCTTCACACAGAGGCACCAGCTCAGACCCGCCCAGGGTTGAGGTTGCCCTGCTGGCCAACGGCCACACCCCAGACCCAAGGAAGAGCCTCCCCCTGGGACCTGACCACTCTCTGGTGACCACCTGACGGCCACACAGATGTCTCCAGCAGACCCAAACCACACGGCCAAGCCCTCAGGCACAGGCTGTGCCCTCTCCCTGGGAAACTCTGCCTCAGGTGGCCTTCAGAGTATGGGGCAGGCCCCACCCCAGATGCACAGCCTCAGATTCTCTGCAGGACCCAACTGAATAACGGCTGTGAAGGTGCCGTGACCAGCAGAGTTGAGAGCCGCCCGGGCACAGCTCACACACTCCCCTCCAAACCCCTGGGTGGTGCCTGAGTTGGCAATGGCCTCATCCACTTCCCTCCTGACAGCCACCACCACCCAGGTTGGGCCATACAGTTAGGATGAACACGTGTGCACGAGCACATACAATGGGCGTGAGGGCACACTCACCTGCATGTACTCACGAGCACACACGAACGGCCACCCGGATGTACTCACAAGCACACCCACACATGCATGGCTCACTCGTACACACGACACACACGTACTCACGAGCACACATGCACGGTGCACTCGTACACACGACACACACGTACTCACGACACATACGTACTCACGAGCACACACGGCGCACTCATACACACGACACACACGTACTCACGACACACACGTACTCACGAGCACATACGTACTCACGAGCACAGATGCACGGCGCACTCGTACACACGACACACACGTACTCACGACACACGTACTCACGAGCACACATGTACTCACGAGCACACACGGCGCACTCGTACACACGACACACATGTACTCACGACACACGTACTCACGAGCACACACGTACTCACGAGCACACATGCACGGCGCACTCGTACACACGACACGCACACACGCACACATGGGAGGCCTGAGACCTGTGGCAGGAGCCTGGCTGAGCACTCACTTTCCTCATCCACTTTGAGCTCCTCGTTGAGCCTGATGGCGTCGGCAACCTCCTTCTCGCTATGGCCTTTACTCGCCAAAAACTTCACCTTATACTCGTCCCATGACACGTGGCCTGGAAGAGCAGGTCACACCCTGTCAGGATGTCTGACACTGAGCCGAACTTCTTCCATTGAGATGGGGTATTGCTCTGCTGCCCGGGCTGGAGGCGGCAGGATGCCAGTGTCTGGAGCCCCAGGGCCCTGGCCAGCACCCCGCACCCACCTCCTCACCTGTGAGGCCAGCTGGGAATGTCTGTGCCTCGGCACCACCAGGTGAAGGCCCCAAAGTCCTAAGAGGTGCCTTCCATGGGCCACGCCCAGTGCTTGGCACACACGCCTTTGTCACCAAGATTCTGGCATCACGAACCCAGCTTTCAGCGCCCACCACACCTCGGGGTCTCCGGCTGATGCCTCCCCGCCGCCCATCCCTCAGAACTGGCCTGTCTGCCCTCCAGGCACCAGGCAAGGCCCATGGCCCTGCCCGCCACCCCCCCACCCCGGCCCGGCCGCAGTACCGTCCCCATCGGGGTCCACGGCACGGAAGTGTGTCTTGCTCTCCTCCATGGCCTCCTGGAAGTGCTCGGCCGTCTTCTCCATGATCCAGCGCTGCATCTCCTTGGCACTGATCTTCCGGTCGGTGTTCACGTCCACCCTGCAGGACAGCAGACGGGCAGGCGGCCATCAGACTGGGCCCCCAGACCCTGAACAGCCAGATGGACGCCGCCGGCCCAGTACTCCATGGCAGTGTGAACCTGCCACCGACGGTGACAGGCTCCACTGGACGACGCAAGAAACATCTGGGACGTGGGGGCCGGGGTGGGGGGGCCACGCCAGAGACACTGGGTAAGGTGGATGCCACGGTCCCCTCCCCAGGGGGAAGCATGGACCCTCCCCCTCCGTCACACAGAATCACCACCAGACCCCCCTCTCCAACCACAGCTTCCAAAAGTCACACTCTTCACGTTTTATTTTTTGAGACGGAGTCGCACTCTGTCGCCCAGGCTGGAGTGCAATGGCACAATCTCGGCTCACTCCAAGTTCTACCTCCCGGGTTCAAGTGATTCTCCTGCCTCAGCCTCCCAAGTAGCTGGGATTACAGGGGCCCACCACCACGCTCGGCTAATTTTTCTATTTTTAGTAGAAATAGGGTTTCATCATGCTGGCCAGCCTGGTCTCAAACTCCTGACCTCAAATGATCCACCCACCTCAGCCTCCCAATGTGCTAAGATTCCAGGTGTGGCCACCAGGCCCAGCCCATGTTTTATTTTAGATGCTTCACGTGTGGCTACAGAAAAACCTTCATACAGGCCGGACACAGTGGCCACACCTATAATCCCAGCACGCTGGGAGGCTGAGACGGGTGGATCACTTGAGCCCAGGAGTTCAAGACCAGCCTGGGCAACATAGGGAGACCCCACCTCTACAAAAAACAATTACAAAAATCTGACAGGTGCGATGGCGTGCATCTGTGGTCTCAGCTACTCAAGAGGCTGGGGCGGGAGGACTGCCTGAACCTGGGGCATGGAGGTTGCAGCGAACTGTGATAACACCACTGCACTCCAGCCTGGGCGGCACAGCAAGACCCTGACTCGAAACAAGACAAAACAAAACCCTTTATATAAACATCAAGTGATAAGATTGAGGAAAAAGAGCGTGTGGGGACTTAACATTGTGTCCAAAGACTTGGGAGACAGGGACACAGATTGAGGACACAGCGTCAGCACAGGCCAGGTCAGGAGGCCATAGGCCCCAGGACAAGTCACTTCCATCCCAGCTTCACAGAGCTCGGCTTTACCATCATGTCCTCGTGGAAGCCACAAGCACCTGCCCCTGCTGAGGCTGCACGTGTCCTGAGCTCACCTGTTGGAAACCTAACCCCAGGGCAACAGCGCTGGGAGGCAGGGCTTCCAGAGGTGCAAGGTCTCGAGACTCCGGCTGGTGCATTTGCTGGAGGCGTCCCTGAGAGTAGGGTGCCCTGGCCCCTTGCCCCTATGCTCCACTCAGGGGCAGCCGCGGCCACGTCACGAGGTGGCAAGCAGGCCCTCATCAGGTGGGTGTGGCCTCTCGGACCTGGGCCAGGCCAGCTTCCATGGTGCACACACCGCAGGCACGGCTCAGAGGCACTGGGCAGAGATCCCCACAGAAGGAGGCCAGGCCACCGCTCACACACATCCCTCCCTCAGCAGCCACGGCAGCCCAGAGGTGGATGGGCCTGGGAGGCACCCTCGGCTCCACAGTCCCCACAGTACACCGGCCGGGGAGGGCGCCGCCTGGATGGCCGTGTGGCAGGTGGGGCACCTGGGGAGCCTCGCATGGACAGCAGCATCCCCGACTGCTGTGGCTCCACACGCGCCACAGATATGGACCACAAGCTCCACACATGCCACACGTGCCACAGACACAGGCCACATGCTCCACACAGAGCACATGCACCACAGACACGGGTCACACATGCCACACGTTCCACACACACCACAGACACGGGCCACATGCTCTACGTGCTCCACACACGCCACAGACATGGGTGCACACGAGCAGAACAAAAAGGTGGAAAGAACCACGTGGCGCAGGATTCCAGTCAAGATGCCGGCGAGGAGTCGCTCATCCAAACTCAGGTGCCTGAAGACACGGCTGCAGGGCGGTGCAGGTACATGGACTGGCATGCACACATGCAGGTACACAGGCCAGTACCCGCGTGTACACAGCACACACACATGAACAGGGTTGGCGGCACGCAGACGTGACTGGGCTAGTGCACACGCATGTTATCGAGCTCTGACTCCTGAGAGGACAAGGGCAAGATGCCCCGTGCCCAGACCCTGGCTTCCAGCTCCAGCCACAGGAGCCAGGGCTCCCCGGAAAGGCGGCAGCTATCGCACTGCGGCAGGCGGCACAGAGGCAAGCCTAGAGCACCTCACAGTGCCAGGAAGCGGGAAGTAAAGCCTGGAGCATCTCATGGTGCTGGGAAGCGGGAAGGAAAGTGAAGCTCAAAAGCCCCTAGGACAGGGCACCTCCCCTCTGCGTGTTCTTTCCAAAAACCCTCAACACTGTACAGTCAGGAGGAAACACATCCCACTGAGGGACATTCTAAAATCTCCTGCTCAGTCCTCCTCAGAACTGTTACGTCCACAAAGAAACCGGAGTCTGAGATGCCATCCCAGCCCAGAGGAGGCAGAGGAGACAGGACAGCTGAGTGAACGTAGGTCCTGGAGGGACAGGGCCCTGCGCAGGAGGAGGGTGAGAAGGGACCCGCATGCTGGGGAGGGAAGTCTGAACACCCATGGCGGCCGCTGTCACCACTCGGCGCTGGTGTCGGAGACCCGGAGACCTGCTGCTACGTCCCACTCTCCACGCCCCCCGCCTCCTCAAATGAGACCCCGCCTCCTCCTCAAATGAGACCCCGCCTCCTCCTTAAACGAGACCCCGCCTCCTCAAATGAGACCCCGCCTCCTCCTTAAACGAGACCCCGCCTCCTCAACCTCCTCCTTAAACGAGACCCCGCCTCCTCAAATGAGACCCCGCCTCCTCCTTAAACGAGACCCCGCCTCCTCAAATGAGACCCCGCCTCCTCCTCAAAGGAGATGGCTTGGGGTTTCGTTACAGGCACCAAAAAGAAACCCCGGTCCAGCCGGAGATGCGCCGAGCAGACGCCTCAACTCCCCTCGCCCAGGCATGCAGCCCACCCTCAGCACTGGCCGAGCAGGGACGGGGACCCTCCCCTGTGACGCTGTGAGCCAGGCCTGCGTGAGCTCAGGGTAGTGAACCTGACAGGCCCCAGGGAGCACCAGTAGCCTCTCCATGGTTGGTCAGGTCACCACCAAGTGAACTCAGGCTGCGAAAGGATCCCTGAACCATGCCATCTGGGGAGAGATGCAAAGGGACGCCACACCTGGTGCCCAGGTCCTCCAGCTGGCACCGTGCCTCTGTCCTACCAGCTCACCTGTGCTCCGCCCAAAAACCTGGATCCTCAGGGCCCTCCTGCCTGGCCCTCAGCCCAGGGCCCTGGCACAGCCAGGCCAGTCCTCACACCTTCCCTACCTGCACCTGCACCCCTGGGCCCCAGCCCTGCCCAACCCCCTTGCTCACCAGCTCTGCCACCTGCCCCTCTGCACTGGCCCTGGAGCACCAGGCCCTGCGGGAAGGTGAGCCTGTGGCCAGGCCTTGTGGCAGGGGCTGCCTCCGTATGCCCGGGTCCCACAGGTCCCAGGAGGCCCAGGGTGTTCTCTCACCTGCACCCTGGCTCCCTGCCCAGCACCCCGGCTGGCCTGAAGGACTCACGGGCATGTCCTGACCCTGCTCTGCCTCCAGGAGTGAGGCCAGCGCTGAGTGCACATGGGCTCCAGGGCCACACCGTAGGGCACCCCGGCCGTGCCACAAGGAGTAAGGCTCCCGTGCAGGACCTGGCTCCTTGTGGGTGAGTGGTCAGGTTGACTCATCTTATATCCCTTACACAAGGCTCCCGAGACTCGAGGATGGGGTCGGGGGAGAAAGCTCGGCACTAGGCACAGAGGCAGAGAGAGAGCCTCGGGGACTTGGCAGGGCGGGGGCAGTGATGGCCAAGGATGGGCCACTGACAGCACGGCTCTGCTCTCGAACAGGCCAGCAAAACAAGCCAACCCCACATACCCCCAGCCCGCGTACGACACACTGCCCACCCATGTGTGACACACTGCCCACCCGTGTGTGACAGGGACCCCAGACACACAGGGTAGAGGGCGTGTCAGGAGGAGCCCAGAGCACCCTGTACCAGCTCTCCAGCTGCCCGTGGCTGCCCCTCACTCCTCAGCCAGGCCTCGTCCAACTGGTGCTGCAGCCTGCAGAGGCTGCCCGTGGCCGGCATCTGCCCCTCAGCATGGAGGACACTGACCGCCGCAGTGGGGGAGGGCTCCTCCTCCAGACTGTCCCAGGCACAGCCACGCAGCCCACTCTGGCCCTCTGAGCCCTCACTGGACCCAGGGCCTTCAAGAAGCCGCTCCAGGTTGCCAGCACAGGCCTCAGTGCAAACACAGCAGGCTGGAAGTGGCGCTGATCACCGGCACGCCCTCCCAGCCCGGCAGGTCCTGACGCAGGATGTGGCGCCCCCCGCTGCGCAAAGCCAGGCCAGGAACACACGGGCGAGCGTACGCAGCGGCCCCCAGCCTGGGCACACGCGGCACCTACTTGGAGAAGATGACCATCAGCTTCCTCCGGCTCCGCCGCGGCTCCACGTCCTCATCAAAGCCCCCCAGGTCCTTGCCTAGGAAGACCTCCTGGTGGAAGCCCCGATTGAGGTGCCCGTCCATCTCCAGCTTCACCCCGTTCAGGTGGTCCGGGGGCAGGATCTCGTTCTCCTCCCTGTTGGCCGCTCTCTCTCGAGTGGACGAGTGGTTGGCAGGCCGTGCTGACGCATCCATCAGGAGTACCGCCCCCAGGAGCCAGAGGCAGCGCGGAGCCAGGCCGACGAGGGGACCCCACCTGGACGCCATCGCCACCCAGGACCAGACCATGGGGTGGGCTGCAGGGTGTGGGCCAGGTGCTGGGAGGGGCAGGGGCAGGGGCAGAGGAGGAAGTGAGGTCCTGGCTCCAATCCAAGCCCCAGGCACCACGGAGGGCTCTGTGTCCCCAGGACGGCTACAGGCTGGGACGAGCGGCTCACGGCTGCAGAGACACACAGACACGCCATTAGTGAGACTGGCAAAGACTTCCCCAAGCACGTCTATCCTGCAACATGAAACACATCCTCAATTCACAGGATCCAGACCACACGTGGCACTGTTTTCTCCAGACCACACGTGGCACTGTTTTCTCCAGACCACACGTGGCACTGTTTTCTCCAGACCACACGTGGCACTGTTTTCCCCAGATCACACGTGGTGTTTTTTCTTTATTTTTAGAAACAGGGTCTTGCTCTGTCGCCCAGGCTGGAGTGCAGTGGTGACCACGGCTCACCGCAACCACGAACTCCTGGGCTCAGGGGATGCTCTCGCCTCAGCCACCCGAGCAGCTGCAACCATAGGCGCGCACCACCATGCCGGGCTAATTTATTTTTATTTTATCTTTTGCAGAGACAGGTCTTGCTGTATTGCCTAGGCTGGTCTCAAACTCCTGGCTTCAAGCGATCCTCTTGCCTCAGTCTCCCAAGGTGCTGGGATTACAGGCATGAGTCACTGTGCCTAGTCTTTTTTCCCTATTTTACAGACACTGGGTTTTCAGCCCTGTCTCTCCATCCTTCCAGCTCTCTCCTGAACCGTCAACACCTCCAGGGGCTAACCTGTCCCCGCCGCCCAATACCTACAGCACAGCCTTCCTGTGGGGCCTGGCTCTGTCCCTCCTGGCATCATGCCACTGACCCATGGGGTTATGGTCACTCTCCAGACCCTGACTTGAACATTCTTGAGATCTATGACCTTGGCTAAGTCATGTGGTCTCCCAGGCCTCAGCTTCTCACTAAGAAACAGGAGGCTCTCCCTGCCCCCCCACCACCAGGCTTTGCGAAGACAGCCAACCCTAAGGGCAGAGGGTGTCAGGGCCTGGTCCCAGCAAACACAGCCCCCACACACAGAGGTGCACACACACATCCACACTCACGCATGCACATATTACACACACGTGCCCTTGCCCACACTCGTAAGCGAACGCCAAGGCTGGGGAGCCCAGAAGCCTGTCTTGGCGTCCGAGGCATGGCCAGTCCTGGTGGGAAGCAGGGGCTCACAGGGCCTCATGCCTCACGTATCCCAAAGGAAACTCGGGGTCCTTCCCACCCACGAGCTTGCTACTTTCACAGTCGGCTCCTCCGGCAAACACCTGCGGGTCCTTCCGGGTGCCGCTGAGACCCCCGCGACCCGTGTTGCAGCTGTTCCCTGAACACACACGGACTGAGGCTCCTGTGGCCGTCTTACTCAGCTTCACTGTCCTGGTACCTGCCACTATGCACACAGTAGGCGCTCAACGAATGCTACCTTGTGTAATATTAGACAGAGAAATGCTGCCTCCAGGTACCAAGAAACGCCAGTGGGGCCGCCATGAAAGCGGCCCTGAAGTCAGTGCAGTCTCTGCCACAAACCAACAGGGGTACAAGCCTGGCGTCACCCAAGGAAGGAAGCCCCAGGTGAGGGGTCATGTCTGGTTTTTTTTTTTTTTTTTTGAGAGAGAGTCTCACTGTGTCGCCCAGGCTGGAGTGCAGTGGTGCAGTCTCGGCTCACTGCAACCTCCGTCTCCCAGGTTCAAGTGATTCTCCTGCCTCAGCCTCCCAGTTAGCTGGGATTACAGGCGCCTGCCACCACGCTCCATTAATGTCTGTATTTTTAGTAGAGATAGGGTTTCACTATGTTGGCCAGGCTGGCCTCGAACTCCTGACCTCAAGTGATTCTCCTGCCTTGGCCTCCCAAAGTGTTGGGACTACAGGCGTGAGCCACGCACCCGGCCTGATTTTCTGAACATGGCTGAGGGCTTTTCCCTTTCCTAGTGGTGGTATAATTCTGTTCCTGTTGTCCCAGCTCGCCTGACCAGGGGAGTGTCCTGGTTAAGAACCAAGACACCTCCTCCTGGTGCTGACTCCACTAACTACAGTCGTAAAACACATTCTGTGGCAAGCAAAGAGAGTGTACTTTGTTCCTAGAGAGGACAAGGCTAGTTCTTGATTCTACTTATCTTGATGAGTTACACGGTATACTTGAGGCAGGAGGACGGTGAGACCAGCCTGGGCAACGCAGTGAGACTGTGTCTCTTTAAAACACAAAAACAAGGCCGGGCGCGGTGGCTCACGCCTGTAATCCCAGCACTTTGGGAGGCCGAGGCGGGCGGATCACGAGGTCAGGAAATCGAGACTATCCTGGCTAACACGGTGAAACCCGTCTCTACTAAACATACAAAAAATCAGCCGGGCGTGGTGGCGGGCACCTGTAGTCCCAGCTACTCGGGAGGCTGAGGCAGGAGAATGGCGTGAACCCGGGAGGCGGAGCTTGCAGTGAGCCGAGATTGCGCCACTGCACTCCAGCCTGGAGGACACAGCCAGACTCCGTCTCAAAAAAAACAAAAAAACAAAAAAAAAAAACAAAAAAATGAGACCTGTCTCGAAAAAGGGGGAAAAAAAGTAACCCCAAAATAACTATAAATATCAGGAGTCCATCAAGTGGCGCTTCCTCCCCTGGCTTCAGAGTATCTCCCCATCACGGTGAGCGAGGCTCGCAGCACGGCGGCGCGGGCCTGTCCCACCGGAATGGGGTTTCCACTTCGCCATCCCCCAGCAGCTCAGTTCCCAGCGTGGACTCAGCACACCCTTGCGAAGCGGACGTGGTCAACAGCTTAGACAGAGACGCTATGTCTCCGCCATCCCCGGGCTTCAGCTCGGGTGGAACGCGGCTATTTCCGGCGGCTAACACACACGGTTGGATTCTAAAAGCTCGACGGGGTTCATGACACCGCCTCTGAGCCAGACACCAAGCGCTCCACGCAGCCGACTTCACCTCTCCAGACCCTCCTAACTGGGGAGGAGGGTCCGCGAGTTCAGAAGCGGAGGCGGAGGCGCAGGGAAGCCGGACAGCTCGTCCGAGGTCGCCTCGCCGATAAACGCGAGTCCAACCAGACTCCCTCGGCCTGCGTTTCGCGGTGGCACTCGTAGGTTTTGGCCAACAGAAGACCAGACGTGCCGGCGGCCGGAGAGGCCCGCGCCGTCGGCCCGTCCCTGCCCCCCGGAGTCCCGGAAGCCCCGGTGGCGGCGAAGTCTCGCCAGGGCTCGAGGCCGAGCGGACGGACGATGCCCCAGCCCAGGGCGGGAGACGGCGGCGGCCTCCAGACCCGCCCTCGCCGTCCGGCCGGCGTGGACACTTGGCCCAGCGGCCTGCAACGGCCGCCCCGGGCCCCTCACTCACCGGCCTGCCTCCCCGCGCCCGGGATCCGAGGACCGGAGCGAAGCGCCGGTGACGCCGTCAACGGGCCCGGATCAGGCCGCTGCCATCTTTCTTGCGGGCGGAGGCGGTGCGACCGCGCGCGACCTCACTGAGGGGACGCCGGCGCCACCATCTCTCCTTCGGGCGGAAGCGGTCGCGGGGCCGCTCCGAGGTTGACCAATGAGAAGGGTGCCCGAGGCCACCTGACAGCCGCTCCTGGTGCTGCCGACCTCCGAGCGCCCCCGAGCTCGGCGTCCGCGGAAGGCCCAGGCGCGCTCCCGGGAGCACCGTGCGCACGCGCACCGCCCCGAGCCGGCGGCGCCTGCGCACTCGCGCGTCCGGCCTGGGCCGCCGCGCGGCGCATGAGCTGTAGCGGCGCGCGTGGGCTGCGGCGGGCGCTATGGCCTGGCGCGCTGGCGTGTGACGGCGGCGTGGCTGTACTGGCGCTGCGGGGAGCCGGCCCAGGACGGCGGCCGCAGCCCCGCCCCGGCGCCCGCGCGCGCCGCCGCCTTTCTGGCCGTGCTGGTGGCCAGCGCGCCCCGCGCCGCCGAGCGCCGCAGCGTGATCCGCAGCACGTGGCTGGCGCGGCGCGGGGCCCCGGGCGACGTGTGGGCGCGCTTCGCCGTGGGCACGGCCGGCCTGGGCACCGAGGAGCGGCGCGCCCTGGAGCGGGAGCAGGCGCGGCACGGGGACCTGCTGCTGCTGCCCGCGCTGCGCGACGCCTACGAAAACCTCACGGCCAAGGTGCTGGCCATGCTGGCCTGGCTGGACGAGCACGTGGCCTTCGAGTTCGTGCTCAAGGCGGACGACGACTCCTTCGCGCGGCTGGACGCCCTGCTGGCGGAGCTGCGCGCCCGCGACCCCGCGCGCCGCCGCCGCCTCTACTGGGGCTTCTTCTCGGGCCGCGGCCGCGTCAAGCCCGGGGGACGCTGGCGCGAGGCCGCCTGGCAGCTCTGCGACTACTACCTGCCCTACGCGCTGGGCGGCGGCTACGTGCTCTCGGCAGACCTGGTGCGCTACCTGCGCCTCAGCCGCGACTACCTGCGCGCCTGGCACAGCGAGGACGTGTCTCTGGGCGCCTGGCTGGCGCCGGTGGACGTGCAGCGCGAGCACGACCCGCGCTTCGACACCGAGTACCGGTCCCGCGGCTGCAGCAACCAGTACCTGGTGACGCACAAGCAGAGCCTGGAGGACATGCTGGAGAAGCACGCGACGCTGGCGCGCGAGGGCCGCCTGTGCAAGCGCGAGGTGCAGCTGCGCCTGTCCTACGTGTACGACTGGTCCGCGCCGCCCTCGCAGTGCTGCCAGAGAAGGGAGGGCATCCCCTGAGCCGCCGCGGCCCGGCCCTCCGGGGCACCCGCTGCACCCAGCGGCGCCTTGGGGCAGATGCCGAGCGGGCGCGCCATGCCCGGGCCCCAGGGCCCCCGTCCCGCGGCCACGCCCGTGGTCGCTGCCTCCCCGGCCTGCGTTTGGGAGACCCCTGGGGGTTGCCGGGACAGCGCGCCGTGTCCAGGTGGAGGTGCCGGTTCCTGGACCTTAGCGAGCCTAAGCGGGGCCCGGCCGCACGCTGACCCCCGTGCTGTCCGCAGCCGGCTCACGGGGCTGGGCCCCGATCTTCCGTGTCTCTTACCAGTGGTGTTTTTCATGTACGTGTCTCAGATCTAAGGTGATTTCACATCAGTCCGCTTTCATGGGATTTTGGTCTCTGTCCAGTGACTTCGTGGTAAATATAACTCAGTGTTTGCTGGTAACTTATTTATAAATATCGTAAGTTTGTGTCGATGTGAGTGTAAGTTGGCAATGTGAAGGTCTCGGGTTTTTTACATGGTTTCAGGAAACACTTCTGTGTCAGAACTTGGTGCCTGTACCGTCGGCCCCGCTGCTGCGTGTGTTTAAAGGCAGGAGAACTTTAAAACTGGCCATTTATCTTTTCAGTGTACACGTCATTGGACTCATTGTTTCTTTCTGAAGAGATTTTCCTTTTAAGGCTTCCCGTGGGTCCGTGGCGCTGCTTTATTTCAGACTCCGCCCCAGGTCCCAGGAATCCGAACCCCGGAGTGCTGATGCGGTTCCAATTCCGCCTTAAAACAGGACCAGCGGGCACCCGGCCTGCCTCTCACCTACCTTAACACATCCTTGGAATCCCCTCATTTAACGAGAAGAGTGAACACTGCGGTCCTTGCCAAAATAAAATAAAGCTGCCCCAGGACAAGGGGTGACCATGAGCCCCCTGAAGTCCAACACGGGTTTTCTGTCTGGGGACCTGGGTGGTCCCCGCTGTGATCTTTGTTGTCCCACTTTGGAGCCGGGGCCGGTCTGGGGTCCAGTCTGGAGCATCAGGGTCAGGCTCGGCTGAGGGTTGGATTAGGCTCCGGGTCAGCCTTGTTGTGGGTTTAGGAGCAGGTTTGGGTTACTTCTGTTTGAAGGCAGCAGCGGTCTCAGGATGAAACAGCTGGGGTGGAGGGGAGTAATGATCTGTGGTCAGTGGGTCAGCGACCTGCACAGTGATTCTCCCACCTCCAACAGGTAAGGGTGGGACTGGAGGCGTCCCTAGGTCAGGCAGATGAGTTCCAGCTCGGATGGGCCACCTTGAATACAAGACTGACTGCCCTTTGTCCGCCCTTTGTGCAGTTTGTTCTTGGACACGGACTCGTGAGGATCCAGGGCTGGGGACCCCAGTGTGAGCAGGATGGGGCCCTGCGCTCCCGTGGGGTCGCAGACTCGAGCCCAGGGGCTGCCCATCACAGCGGTGTCCCAGGTCCCTGCCGTCCGGTTTTACCTGGGATGTCTTCTCTGGAGTTCGGAATTACTGGAGGAGCCCTGTGTGTGCTTGGAGAGGCCAGAGGGCTTGCTGAGGATCCCATGGACAGTGGAGAGCGGGATTCGAACCAAGGGCTGGACGCCCACACCTCTGGCCTGCATTGCCGAGTTCTTCGTGGCTCCAAAGAGTTGACCCCTGTGGAAAACAGTGCAAATGTCCAAGACTCCCTGTAGGAAGTCTAAAAATCCAGTTTGCAACCACTTCTGATCTACAAAAAAATGGAAATTTGGTGTTTTTCAGCCTAAGACATTAAATTTCATGTCAGAACAGAGCCTGCCCTGGGCGGACCCTCCCCAGCCGCGCCGTGGTGAACGGGTTCAGAGGACATGTGGGCTGAAGGCTGGGCCTCGGGAGGGCTGGGGGCTTCCCAGAGCCGGGGCAGCTACAGCTCTTTCTGGTCTCACCTTGAACTTGCCCTGTAGATCCTCCCTGCTCCCTGGTGTCTCCCTGCCCCGCGACTCCGCTCGACCGTGGACATGCCGTGGCATCCCCTCCCCCAGGCGTCCCTCCCTGGTCTTAGCTTGTACAGCTCCCCACACACCCAGGTACTCAGTTCCCGGAGACCAGGGCCAAACCAGGAGGCCCTCGGGCGATGGGGAGTCACCGAGTTCATTTCCATGGGGAACCTGGGATACAAAACAACCGACTCTTCTCAGCCACACGGATGTTTCTCCTCTAGCGGCCCCGAGAGCCCACCATGGAGGGGACAGTGTCAGGGCTGGGCAGGCACGGTGCAGCCGCACGCACACAGCCCCCAGGAGGCACATGGCCGGCAGGGAATGCAGGTCAAGCCAAGAGGGTGGGCTTTGGTCCCTTCAGGATCCCCCAAGAGGAGAATACCCCCCTCTGCCCTCCTGGGAACCCTGGTCCTGCCCCTCTGCCCCCCACGACTGGTACACAGGCACCTGAAGTTGGCTCCAGCTCTCTGGGCCAGCCCTGGGTAACCACAGGGCCTGTGGCCTGGGTGGTCGCCCCCAAAATGCAAAGCGCTACCTGCGTCTGGAGGCACCCCCACCCGAGGCTTCCAGGTTTCCACCTGCCCACCTGTGCCTGGCTGGGATCGTGGCGGTCAAGGCTCCTGTTAAGGGACTGAATTGTGCCCCCTAAAAGATATACAAACTGACCTTGTCTGGAAGTCAGGTGGCTGCAGGTGGAATCGCGTTAAGACGAGGTCCTGAGGTGGCCTTACTCCGACGGAACCGGTGTCCTTATCAGAACAGGCCCGGAAAAAGCTCCTGTGTGGCCACAGAGACTGATATCCAGGCGACGCCTCTGCAGGCCGAGGATTGAGGACCCCCCAGCACCACCCCACCAGGCAAGAAAGGGCTCTACCCAGAGTCAGGAGCATGGCCTCCAGGGCTGCGAGGGAAGACACCCCGTCCAGCAGCCCCAGGGTGCCAGCCCAGTTGCCTGTGCCTGGCACTCTTCGGTGCAGACGCGGGCAGGGGCTCCTGCAACCTTGCGGTGTCACAGACGCCCAGCACTGACTGGGCCCAGATCTTCTCCTCCTGGGGCTCAGCACACACCCTGTTCCCGGCAGGCGTTCATCAGTCCAGCCTGCAGCAGGGCTGCCCCCAGTCACGCCAGACTCTTCCGCCCTCTCCCTGGCCGACTGTCCCAGCTCCGAGTCCTCAGGTCTGAGAGGGGCATGGCCCTCCTGTGTCCCCACCTGCCCAGGCTCCCCAGCTGTGGCACCGTGAGACCGGCTGACAGTGCAGGAATGGAGGCCCCAGCTGCCCAGACGGCTTGCGGAATCCTGGGGAGCAGGTGGCCAGAGACAGGCGCACACCCGGCCCTCCACACCCAGAGCGGGGCCCGGAGAAGAGAGGAGGCCCCTTGTTAACGTCAGGCCCTGCTTCCTGGGCCCACCGACAGCAAGTGAAAGAGGAGTTTCCAGCTCCACGGGGGCTGCTCCCTGGTTTCAGGGGCCTGGGAAGGGCTTGGCTCTTTTTCCTGGTTTCCTACGCTGGAGTGCGCTGGGGTCTCCCTCTCCCACTGTGGGCTGAGGGGAAAGACCTCTGTGTCCATCCCACGGGCCTGGCCAATCTCAGGGTCCATCCCACGGGCCTGGCCAATCTCAGGGTCCATCCCACGGGCCTGGCCAATCTCAGGGTCCATCCCACGGGCCTGGCCAACCTCAGGGTCCATCCCACGGGCCGGGCCAATCTCAGGGTCCTCAAGAGGCTTTTGAGGGGGCACAGCCCAAACCCCTGGGCCTCCCCTTGAGGTCTCCTCCCAGCCCCCACCCAGAGGACCTTCCCACAGCCTTGGGAGCTGAAGCC